AGGGGGGTGTCCTGTGCCATGCCTCCACAACAGAAACTGCTGCCAGTCACGCAGGCCTGCACTGGCTGGCCTTGAGAAAGTCACCTAACACGTTCTGGGGCAATGAAATGGGGGTAAAAACACTGCCCTCCCTCAAAGGCTAGTGTGGAGACCACACTTGTCAAATAAGCAAAGAGTCTACCACCACTCGCTCATTTCAGCGTGACACGGGCCAGGCAGAGTGCTGGGAACCAGGGGCACACAGCCAGGGCCCGGCCAGCAGCAAGGGCTCAGACCATTTGTCCTTCTCTCTGTCCTCGCAGCATTTCTGTGACAGAGGCCCCAACACAAGGAAGGCACCAGAAGACACTTCTTGGAAAACAAGGGAAATGGTCATTTACGGGTCCAATCCCAGGTGGCCACTCATCTCCACACCCGTGACCCCCACTGAAAGGCAGAGGGACTCCAAGGGCAGGAGCAGCTGGCCCTGAGCTAGGGACGGCAGGGCCGTGGGCTGTGGGTGTCCGAGGAAAGAAGGCCATGGACCTCCCCCAGCAATGGGTGCCAGGAGCTCTGGAGAGGGTCAAGCCGGAGCGCAGGCTGGGGATCCACATGCCCACCCTGCACCCCTCGCAAAAGGCACACGTTGTCCCAGCACCAGGAAGAAGCTGTGAAAGAAAGCAAACATGGAAGAGAAGCTAGGAGAACCCGAGAAGGCCCAAGGCCTCCTCACAGTCTGCCCCCAAGACCCAACGTGGGCCCAAAAGCCACACCAGTAAGCCTGCTGAGGGGGCTTTTGGGGGGCCTTTGGAACTGACCTACCAAAGTGGCCCCATTTGGGAAAATGGCCCAGCAACTCGGGCTCTCTGGACAGTCCAGCAGGAGCAAGGGCCTCATAGGGCAGGGGCGGAAGAGGGGAAGAGGCACCCTTTGCTGAAGACCTGCCAGGCGCCAGGCATCCTGCCAAGCACCTCTGCATACATTATCACAGCAGCCCCGCCAGCCAGGCAGTGCTGCAAAAACAGAGGTGAAGAGACACCCCTAGGTCACCTGGCTAGGGCAGCCAGGAGAGCCGCATTTGTATCCTGCCTTTGTGCCGTCTTGCACATGCTGCCCCAGTATCCGGGTGCTGGGACCAGGAGGCATGGCACAGGTGACACAGATGGGCAGGCCGCACATCAGGAGAGCTGGCCCATGCAGAGGAAGGACAGGGTGCCCACCCAGCAGGGTCCCACAGGCTCCAGGGAAAGGAAACTCCTCTGTAGCCAACAGATGCAAAGCACAGAGGCCGCATACCTCTGCAGCCGCAGCCTCAACATCGGCAACTGCTGCGAACTGAACAAACTTCGGACACTCGAGGAGACCGGCTGATTTGGTATGCAGGACAGGTGACTCGTAAAGCAGGCAACCTTAGTGCCCACTGGAGTGGGCCAGTGTTCCCTGAGGCCACCTCAGCCTAATGTGCCAGAGATGTTTCGTTAGGAAGATCACAGACCGAAACAGGAGCACCAAAAATAATTAATCTGTGAGCAGGTTTTATTTAAGTGTTGATTCATGGTTGTTCTATAAGCCAACAGCCTGTCAGAACTACAAATTAACGAGATAAAATGTTGCTGGCCCTCCATATTTCAGGCCAGATATTGACATTTTAGAATCCACAGATTTCTAACTGTATTGATTGAGGACACCAGGATAAATGGCCTTGGCGCCAAATTCCCATTAACGACAATGGGCACCGAGTGACTAATCCCCAAAGCGCTGTGGTGCGAACGCCCTGCATTGCCTTCTCCTGGCAGGAAGCTCTAATTAGATTGAAATGAAAAAGCCAAATCACCGAGGGTGGGAAAAGGCAGACCAAGTAAAATGGGAGATCAGACTCAGTGAGGACAAAGGACAATATAAGTCAAAGCAGAACAACAGCCACAGTGGGTACACAAGCCCACCCCAATCTCAGCTAAAAAGAGCACCCAGAAAAACCCAGGCTGCAGGTAGAGGGCGCAGGAACGGGGTAGGAGACACAGGTGGGAGACAGGAGTGGAGCCCAGTGAGGTCCAGCCTCCACTCCGTCTCGTGCATACCTGCACTGCGCAGCCGCTCCCAGCCAGCCCCGGCCAGATGACAGACACAAAGTCCTCGAGCACAGGGCCCCTCCTCAAGGAGCTCCATGCTAGCCAGGAAGGCAACACAGAAACCAACCACCTAGAGCAGGAGAGGCCCTGTTTGAGGGCTGGAGGGCTTCCCCAAGGCTGAGGTTCAAAACCCCCAACTGTATGTCCCTGGGGATGCAGGACACCCAACATACCCTCCCCTGTAGCCCGAGCACCTGGTCCTGCACACAGGGGGTGTGCAACAGGCAACTGCTGATGACTGAGCCAGGGCTGCAACAGATGAAGTCAATGGTGAGCACCATTCCTGCCAGAGGTGTGGAGAAGTCCTCAATCACCTCCCCAGCTGGACAGCAATGCCTTTCTCTCTGTACCTACCCGACACACCACAGCTGGAGGGGAGTGTTGGGCCTGGGGCCAGACAAGCTGCCCTCCAGACGCAGTGCTACCAGCAACTGCACAAAATATTCCACCTCCTTCTCCACCTCTCCAGCCAGGGCTGCCCATCACCCCAGACCAGCTGCAGCTAGCAGGGAGACCTGCCCAAAGCACAAACTAAGCCATGATTCCTGCTGCTCCAAACTCAGCCGCGGCCTCCTACCGCCACCTGCTGTGGCAGTCCCTGACATGTCAGGCAATAGGACCCTCTTTGAATGTCTAAAAATTTCAGAACCTGCCCAACATTCACACACACACACACACACACACACACACACACTGGCAAGTGTTTAACATCTGTTGATTGAGAAAATAGACAATGACAAAGGGCCACTATGAAACCATCAAAGTTACCAAATGGATTTGATTTGAGCAAGCCAACAGCTCACCCACGTCTGAAAAGCAGTGGCGTGGGCATGAGTGAGTACACTTGTCACTCTGTGGGCAGTGTGGCACCCACGTGACCCACAGGCTAGGGGCTCTCCCCCTGTACTGCTCAGACACATCTCTCCTGGACCCCTGCACCCCACATTACACACTGCTTTGGTCTGCACACACAGCACATGGTATCCTGTTCCTGTGACAACTCTGTCCTTCTTGTTCCATCTGCTAAGAGCCCACTTCCCTCCCCCTCAACCACACCTCCTCCAGCCGAATTCTCTGTCCACCTAATTCCCGGCTCAGCTCAGGTTTTACTTCCTTGAGGAAGTCTTCCTTGATTTTCCAAGCTGAGCGTTCTCATGATTCCTCTATCTTGCTCCATCTCTGCAACCTGGGATGGTCGCTGCTGCTCTTCTGACTCTCCCAGCAGACGCGAGCTTCTCCAGGTGGGCACTGGGGCCTGCTCAGCTGTCTCCCACACCAAACACGTCTTAGGGGGCATGCCAGCATCAGAGAATAACAGTTGGGAGCCTGGCAGACATGGCCCTGTCACTTACTGGTTTGTGCCCGTGGCCAGTGCGTGTAAGGTGATGCTGACGGCGCCTGCCTCAAAGGGCGGGCGGGGCCGAGACAAGAGGCTGTATGGAAGGCCCGCGCACAGTGGGTGCCCGTTGTCAGCAACTGCTGCTGTCATCGTCAGCCCAGTCATTACCGCCATCAAGTGGCACCAAACTCCCTGAGCCCTGGCAACTTCACAGGGCGCTGAGATCGGTAAGACCACAGACAGCAGGGAAATGCTTCAGGAGGAGAAAACGTCGCACGCTCAGCACCGTGGCAAGGGTGCAGGCTCTGCAGCTGCACAGACGTGCTTCCAAATCCCTGTTGGCCACACACCACTGGGAGGCTGTGAGCAAGTCACTTCACCTCTCTGATCCTCAGTCTCCTCACCTGTAAAATGGACACAACTGCTGCCAGCAGCTGCAGTGAGGATTAGGCCTGTTTTGTGCAAAGCCTGTGGCATGGTCCCAGGCAGCTGGCAGGGGTCCCGTGACCACCAGTCTTACTGCCTCCTCTACTCAGCATCATGGGGCTCAAAGGAGCCTCGAGGCTGCCCCTCAGTGGCCCAGAAGGAGACAAGGAGAAACTCGAGGTGGAAACAAACCACACAGTTACCCCAAACCACCCTGTGTTTCCTCTCTGCACTTCCTTGGAGCTGCCAGCGCTGGGCTGCAGGACCCTGGAGTCACCATCTCCTTCCTGCCAGACCCTGGGAGAGGCACACCCTAGAGCTACCACCACAGGGCCAGCCACGCCACTGCTGGGCTAGGCGGGCAAGGGGCAGGCCCCAGGCACGAGTGTTACCTCCAGCCTCTCCCCCAGCAGAAGCATGACCAACCCCGGGGGAGACAAGGCAAGGCGGTATGGAAAGATGCTGGCTGGAGTGGGAGTCAGGTGGTGTGGGGTTAGATCCCAGCCCCCGCCCCCGCTGCTCTCCCTGAAACACATTGATGGGACTGGCCTGGGGCTGCCAGCAGTGCCTGTTATGTAGGTACATTCAGTCAGGGGAAGTTCCTTCCACTGGCTTCTCTCTCCTTCTCGCCCTGCTTGGCAAGAGCCCCCGGACTTACCCAGCACGAATCCATCTTACCCAAATGGGCATTAAAGCAGAACTCGTTTGAAGACTTTCCTTATGAGCTGGAATCATTCCTTACAGCCTTTCAACGATAATGAATTGACAGGAATTCTAAACTGATTCCAACCAAAGGACACAGTGATAAAGTTAAATCTATTTCAGTACAAATTGCATGTCACAAGTTGATTAAAAAGCCACCTCTTTATCCAGCCCCGCAGCTTGGGGCTGAGACAACCTTGGGGCTCTGTCCTCTGTGCTGGCTGACAGAGGCCCCCCTCGAACCTTCTGTGGGGAGTAGAGCTTCCAACAGGCAAACAGTCTGGGAACACTCTCGCGAGCATGGGCCTACCCTGAGGCCCCCTCCCTCTGCTCTGAAACTGCAGCCTGCGGCTGCGAACCCACCAGAGAACCTCCACCAGGAGAGCTGCCAGCTCACCTCGGGACAGTGACACAGGGAAACGTACCTGTTTCAAGGTCTGTTAGGTGCAGCGCGAAGTCGAAGCCACCACTGAGGATGCGCCGGCCACAAGGAGACCACCGGGCAGCCCGCACTGCCTCGCTGTGCAGGGAGTAGGTCTGCAAGCAGCGCCCCGAGTCCACGGCGTTCCACACCTGTGAGAGAGACGCAGAGCACCGGAGGTCATGAGGAGGCCTGATCCAGGGCTCAGCTGACCCTCTGTGTGGGCGAAATGGTCAGTCTCACAGTGGAATTATCTTCCCATTATTTTACCATCTAAACTATATCTACATGTTAAACTTTTCACTGCAGAAATGTAAAGACTTGGGGTTGATGAGTTGGGGTTAGCCTTTTCTAAAATTTCTTTTGGAGTTAAGAAAACAGCATTCCTGAGTCTGTCACTCACCTCCCCAGCCCTCACACCTACCTGCTCCACACCTGCTGGCCACCAGGGAATCCTGCCCCTTGGCACTTGCAGTCCCATCCCAGTCTCCCCTGCATTGCTGGCATCCGTGCTGTGATGGACACTGCCAAGGCCAGGCTATATTCATGGGTTTTACTTTAAAACTGAGATTCAAAAAGGAACCTGCCACACCTGTATTTACAACTGGTCAAAGAGCAAACATCTGCCTTGAGGGCAGCTGTCCTTTTCTTTGGGAGAGAAGATATTGTCCCCCATTCCCATCCTGGCTTTCCATGGCGGAACAAGGCTTGTGGGAGAAAGCCCTATGTATCCTCCATGACTTCTGCAAAGTGATTTAAGAACCCAAGCATAGATCTACACATTCTGGAGCCAGGGCCGCACCGTGCGTGAGCACGTGAGCACCTGAGTAGCTTCTCACCAGCTCCCCTAGCAAACACCTGCAGCTTAGAAGGCGATGGGGCTGGCCCAGCGCCTGGCATGCAGAGGTGCTCAGTCCCCCACCCTCACTGTCACTACAGGATGCAGGGGATGCTCTCACTTACCACCTGGGTGGCTCAGAGGATTAAACCCAGGACGCAGGAAGAGCACCTGCAGCCTCCACGTGGGAGTCAGGGCTAAGTGCCTCCCACGAGTCATGTGACTTGGCTGAATGGCTTGGCCTCTCTGGGCCTCAGTCTCCTCCTCCAGGAAGTGGGGATGTGCAGAGCACCGCCCAGGGCAGTAGAGAAGACTGGGAAGGGAACCTCTGCACAGCACGCAGCACCACGGCTGGGGCCTAGCGAGGGCCACGGCGCCCTGGACACACTGCTTGGGGCTTGAAGTAGCCACGGTTCTTAACAGCAGGGTTCCACGACCTCCTTTCAACTCCATCAGGAAAACCGAGCTTAATTTTCCTTAGTAAGAGAAAAACCCAAACAAAGTACATCCACGTACTTCCACAAACATGATCCTAGGGATAACCTTCTCACTGAAGATGAGAAAATTCAACCCGCCAACTACTAAAGGTTCTCAGAATGCAAAGGATCAGAACTCTGAACACTTGATTCCTGGGATTATGCAAATGTCTAAGCTTAAGAAAACAAGAGGTCAAGAGTAGCCTTCGAAAAATGTTCAGAGAGCTCATTTCCTTTCTTCCCTACTAGGGGTCAATAGCTAGGATCTCAAACTGGAAAATCAAGAAACAGCAGTATTTACATTTAGAAACATGAACAGAAATAACAGAAGAAACAGCCAGAACACTCCAAGGTAGAGTGAGAATTAATGGAAGGGAGGTAGAGCTGCAACAGGTGAGGACTGCTGTTTTTTTTAAAAACTATGTAGAAGAATAACTTAATTTTAAAAATAATAAAATGAATAATCTAGATCTACAGGGTTCACATGGCTAAACAGTAAGAAAATAACATTGAGTACATAAGACAAGCTGCACATACAAAGTATGATGCCATTTAAGTTTTAAAACACATGAAACACCATCTCATGTGTTTTCTGTGGATGACTACTATGAAAAAACAGAAAATAATGAGTGTTAGCAAGGACGCAGAAAAATTGGAACCCTTGTGCACTGCTGGCAGGAATGGCGCAGCCACTATGGCACACGGCACGGTGCTTCCTCGGGGAATTAAACACTGAAGTATCATATGATCCAGCAATTCCACTTCCAGGTAAATGCCAAAAAAACCAAAACTAGAGTCTCAAAGAAATATTGTATACCAATGTTCATAACAACATTATTCACAGTAGCCAAAAGGTGGAAGCAACCCAAGTGTCCATGGATGGATGAATGGATAAACAAAATGTTTTATATCCATCCAGTAGAATATTACTCAGCCTTAAAAAGGAAGGAAATCCTGACACACACTGCAACATGGATGAAACCTGAAGACAGTATGCTAAGTGAAATAAGCTAGATACAAAATGACAAATACGACGTGACTCCACTTGCATGAGGAACACTGAGTAGTCAAAATCATACAGACAGGAAGCAGAGTGATGGTTGCCAGGGCTGGGGGAGGAGAGAATAGGGAGTTTAACAGGGAGAGTTTCAGCTTTATAAGATGAAGAGTTCTGTGGATGGGTGGTGATGAAGGTTGCACAACAATATGAATGTGCTCAATGCCACTGAAGTGTACACTTTAAAATGGTTAAGATGGTGAATTTTGTTATGTGTATTTCACCACAATTTTTAAAAATACACACACACACACACACACACACACGCAACCCCTATCTCATGCATTCATGCATTTGTAGACAGACTATAAAATGCATGGGGACGGTTGTTGGATATACTTGTGTGGTGTTCAAAAGAGAGGTCCAGGGTGGACACTGAGCTTTGGAAGTCGCTGCCACTGAAATGGTGTTTCAGTCCCGAGCTGGACGAGCTCTCCACAGGAATCAGTGCAGACAGTGCAGAGGGGAGCCACATCTCCGCAGGGGCCTCTGGTGCGCACAGGCTTGGAGCAGGGGATGGGAAAGGAGAAACCAGAGAAATCTGAGAAGAAAGGCCGGTGAGGTAGGAACAGAAACAGAAGACAGGTGTCCTGGAAGCCAAGAGCGAGTGTTTTGAGAAGAGACTGGTCAACACATCAAATGCTGCTGAGAAGTCCTCCAGGTGAGGATTGGGGATTTAACAAGGCAAGGGGCGGGCACCTGGTATCTTTTATTTTACTTTCTATACTTTACTTTTCTATGCTTAAAATATTTCATAATTTAAAATAAAAACGTTAAATTAATGAGGAGGGAGAGGAGGAGAAGAAGAAAAAGGGGAGAGGAGGAGGGAAGGAGGGAGGGGATGGGGAGGGCCGGGAGGCAGAAGGCAGGGGGAGGAGGCGGAGGAAGGAGGGTGAGAAAAGATCACGCCAGTAATGAAAGAAAGAAAGAAAACTTGAACTCTGTGACATCCAAGGCCAAAAGCAACAAACCAGAACATTTGAATTCTTGGCCAGGGGCCTCCAGAATCCACCACGGAAGCGTGTTTAAGGAGATCCATCAAACTGTAAACCATCTGACATGTCCTCTCGGAAGTGGAAAACGCACACCTGGCTGTCCCAGTTGATGCATAGACAGTGATAGCGTCAGAATCAATGCAGACCAGTCAGCTACCTTTCAAAGCTACCCAGGGTGAAGGAGAGAAGAATCTTTGCCAATCGCTCTCCTTAATTGAATTTAATGTTCACTGTCAGGTTTTAAAGATTAATTCCCAAACACTGTGGCAGCCTGAAGTGTGTGCCTTTTTTCAATTAAGTAATTAGAGATCCCAAACTGCCTTCACGGAATTAAGGAGTTAAGTCTTCTGTCAAGCGTTCTAAGATGACTTGATGTATTAACTAGAGACATTCTTTGCGTCCAACAAAAGTAACAGTCTTGAAAAGAACATGACAGGTAAAATATGGTGCCGTCACTTGCTTGCCGCACATTTACCACGGTTCCCATGTCCTGGTCACCGAGACATGCCACCACTGGGAATTCTCACAGTCTCCTAAGATTAGGAACAGGAACTATTGATTTAGCCTCAGGTCATGTTCTTCCGCTTGCCAGCCTCCCTTTTGTTTTTGATTATAAGAGAAATACAGTCTCCTTGTAAAGTACTCAAACCATTACAGAACTGTAAAAAGCAAAATCCCATAGGAATCAACGATGAGGATTTTGGTTTCTCCGATTCTCTGGAAATATAACTGTGTCATGCAAAAAAAGAAAGGAAGGAAAAAAACCAACAACAAAAAGTCCAAAACAGAAAAACACAAAGAAAATAAGAGTGTCATTCATAACCTCACCGCCTGGAAATAATGGCTGTCAAATTTCTGGGTGAACCTTTGCCTCCCGTGTGGCCTTCTCTTGCTATCTCCTGCCTCAGGATCTTCCGAGTTCAGCCCTGGCTCCTGGCATCCCCACCAACTCTTGGCAGCCCCTGTTGCCCCAGAAAACAAGTTTAGAGACCACTCTCAAACTCACAGAGCTCACCCCAAGCTCGTGCAGAGTGCCCAACCCCTCACCAAAGGATCCCAACCGGATGGGATCAATCTGCCTGCAAAAGTTTGGGAATCCTTCATGAAGTGTGTATTCAATGGCCAGAATTACATTGACTCTAAAGACCAATTTGGGGAAACATCTTAATAATCCTGACTCTTCTAATCCATGAATAGGATATATCTCTCCATTTGTTTAGGTCTTCTTTAATTTTCCTGAGCAATAGTTTGTTGTTTTTAAATGAAAAGACCTGGCATATCTTCTGTCAAACTTATCTCTAATTAGTTCATATTTTGATGATATCCTAAATAGTATTTTTAATTTTAGATTGTTCATTTCTAGTGTGCAGAAATATAATTAACTTTTGTATGTTGACTTTGAATTCTGCAACCTTACTAAATTCGCCTTTTATTTCTAGAAGCTTTTTTTAACAGATTCAGTGGAATTTTCTACATAGATGACCAGGTCATCTGTGAATAAAGACAATTTTATTTCCTCTTTCCTAGTCTGGATCCTTTTATTTTCTTGCCCTATTGTACTGGCTGTAATCTCCAGCACTATGCTGAACAAATATGGGGTAAGCAGATACCTCTGCCTGTTCCTGACTTCATGTGAAATTTAGTCAGGCTTTTATACAGCTCAGAATGACACTGGAGCTAATGTTTTCGGAGATGCCCCTTATGAGTTCAAGGAAGTTCTATTTCTAGTTTGCTGAAAGTTATTTTTTCCAAATCAGGAATGAATTTTGGACATGGTCAAAAGCTC